TCATCGGTCCTTGACAGGTGTGCCAATTTTCTGAGTAGACGAACATTACAATTACTTTCAAATATTCCATTACATAGATATAATATAACATATCAAGCGACTAAAACTGGATTAAAAATCAACCGAGGCAAAAAATGTATTTTTGTTTGATAATTGAGTGGGTATACTTGTTTATTTCTTGTATAGATAGGTGAACTAGCTCACTAGCAGCGAGCCTATAGATATTACAACGTCAGTGTCGCTAACCACCTTGAGAATTGAGGTCGAAGAATTGTATTGTATAACAGCTGTTTTACCCTTCAAATAAAAAAAGGGAAGGACGGTTTTTCGTTTACCGGCTGGTAGATTATTCTCGATTTTGCTTATATAACGATTTCTTTGTTCACTTTATGAATAGACTAGCGACCCGCCCTCGCTTCGCTTCGAAACATTAAAACAAACATGAAACAAAAAAACAAAAAAAAAATTTTTTGAAAAAGTAGCCTATGTTCATCAGGGACAATGTCGACTTCTAATGGAAAAAGAATTTTTCAGATCGGTCCAGTAGTTTCGGAGCCTATTCGAAACAAACAAACAAACAAATCTTTCCTCTTTATAATATTAGTATAGATATAGATATAGACAAGCGGCCCGCTCCGGCTCCGCTCGGGTCTTTGACAAAAATTTCAACGATATTTGACGTTGTTTTATTTGTTTAAATAAAAGAACACTTATTGCGGCATAACTATAATAGTTAGACATAATATGCTGTCGCGACACTTTTTGTAAATAATAATGTGTTCTACAAAGTCGTAGTACATTATTTTATTCTATCATCAATAGTTTTCGCAGCGCACGCGATGCAAAGAATATTTTAGGTGATTTTTTTACACTTACGCAAAGAATATTTTAGGTGACCTTGGGTTACATTATTGGAGTTTTAGTAAGGATCCCTAATTTTTTTCAAAAAAGATTATATCCTGTGTCACTCGGGAATAGTGTAGCTTCCAAACAGTGAAAGAATTTTTCACATCAGTTCAGTAGTTTCGGAGCCTATTCAATACAAACAAATCTTTCCTCTTTATAATATTAGTATAGAAGTGTAGATTGGCCAACGTTATTGACCCACATTGCGGATGACTTTTCGATATATTTTTTTACCTATTTTTACAACGTACATTGTACATAGGNTGTGTCACTCGGGAATAGTGTAGCTTCCAAACAGTGAAAGAATTTTTCACATCAGTTCAGTAGTTTCGGAGCCTATTCAATACAAACAAATCTTTCCTCTTTATAATATTAGTATAGAAGTGTAGATTGGCCAACGTTATTGACCCACATTGCGGATGACTTTTCGATATATTTTTTTACCTATTTTTACAACGTACATTGTACATAGGTACGAGGAGAAATATCGCAAATCAGACGGGCTCCGTCACATCTGAACATATAGTAACAGTGTTGCCATTTGAACTTGGGGTGTACTTTATGCCTATCGCGATTCGGAATTACAATCAACTGTACGTAAAGATAAAAATCAACGACCCCCATAAATCACTCGACTGTTATCGGTCGCCTTGAACAGGAAAATAATGTGCAGGATCAGGGATAGTGGTGAACTTTACGATAAATCATTTTAATACATTAATTTAATATCTGAGGCTGAAATGAGATGCACTTATATGATAACAGTGGGCCTGAATACAAATGAGAATATAGATGAGGCGAGAATACAATTGTCAGTCCGCACGGGTAGGTACCACCACCCTGTCTATTTCTGCCGTGAAGCAGTAATGCGTTTCGGTTTGAAGGGTGGGGTAGCCGTTGTAACTATACTGAGACCATGGAACTTATATCTCAAGGTGGGTGGCGCATTTATGCTGTAAATATCTATGGGCTCCAGTAACCACTTAACACCGGGTGGGCTGTGAACACGTCAACCCATCTAAACAATAAAAAAAATATCTGACTGTATTATTTCATTTTATTTTACAATTAAAAGAGCACGCCCAAAGACCATAAGCAACACCGGGTGGGCTGTGAACACGTCAACCCATCTAAACAATAAAAAAATATCTGACTGTATTATTTCATTTTATTTTACAATTAAAAGAGCACGCCCAAAGACCATAAGCCGAATTAAGCCCAAACGGCATGTTGTAAGTCTCTTGTACACATGCACAAACCGGATCTTGCAACTCAACTATACTTCAGTACAGGAGGAAGGACACAAAAACCTTGCCTATTTAGATCAGTGGCTCTTAATTAGTGAAAGATCCTGAGAGAGAAAACCCTCTTCTATTTGAAGCTAGGGATTAGGGATTAGTCACAACAGATCCGTGTAGATCGGAGAGGCGATATTTTTTTGGAATAAAGCATTACTGGAGGCCCAAACGCTTTTTCAGTTTCACCAGGACAAACTGGCGGGCGCGGGCTTTGTCGTAATAGGTGGGATTTACTAACAGCTGCCCGAGCACCTCCAAGGGAAACCTAACAGCTCAGAGGCAGCTGCGTCGCGAATACATCTACTACTAAATTAAAAGGACATATTCATGATAAATCGTTTAATATGCTCTTTCCATGTTTTAAACTATTTTTTATATGATTAGAGACTCAAAATTCATTCAGATTAATTTCAAGTAATTCCACATAATTCCATACAGTTTTTCGTGTCGTCGTCATTTCTGTCCAAACATGGAAACAATAAAAGGGTTTTGTCGTTAGATTTTATCTGTTCAATTTATCAAAAGAGAAGCGTTATTAAAATAAATCAACTTTAGTTACTTAGCATACTCAAAAGACAAACTTTTTCATATTTTAACGTGAGCTGGTACTAAGGGATCCTTTATGATTACTTGTCAATTTATACCGAAACCTATTTGCAACTTTCGTCCTGTCATCATAAATGTCAATTTCCTAAAACAGATCTCTTCGATGCTGTGTCATTATAACTCTTCATAATAAAGTCAAAGTTAATGCTCTCGGGAAGGAGGGAAAGGATGAACGAGGACGGATCAATGAAATAACATCGTGCACCATTTTTACAATAAAATGTATTTTTTGTTCATTTATTACATCACCGATAAAGAATAATATCATTCTACAAACATTCGTTGCGTAATCTCTTCGTGACTATTTCTGTCCACATAATTGTGGAACGTCTTTCTTTGCTTTTTTTTTTGACTTATGAAAACATAGCACCCGCGTGCGTAGTGTTTAGTTCATTTAATGCTGGTCGTGAGTATTATTACGTCTGCAAGGCATTAATATTTCAAGACCTTTGCCTGGAACGAAATTTAAATATTCCTACAATCAACATAGTACTCTGCTTCTGGCAGTGGAAAGATCATAATATTAGCGCTCTGCACTCGCGACACGAGCGCTCTGAAACAGGAATGTAGCTGATTACGCGATCCCGTTTGTTCAAACGCGTCTTGCTTATTGGCGTTGGACTTTCCGGCATAAAATAGTTCCTATTCGTCTCTGACTAACCGCAAAACAGCTAGAACCGGCGATAAACGATCGAATTAATGCCCCTTAATTTTGTTTTGTGTCTTTTCGGGAAACATGTAATACAAACACAACATAAAAAAAATGATTTTTTTGTAAAAAAAAGCGTGGGGTGCCATTCAGGATAATATCAAAATAGCCCTTCTACTCATATCTTTTCGTAAAATATTTATAACTAATGATACCATGCACCCCGCGCTTTTTTTACAATAAAATCGTTTTTTTCTTACACTATTTTGAATTCAGATTTATTTTCTATTTTTTAGTTGAATTTTCTATAAAAGCGTATTTCGTTTTTTTTAAACTATTATTTATATATCATTTTTTAGTTGGATTTAAATTTTTTCAATTTTTTTTTAATATTGAATTGTCATCGGTCCTTAATAAGAATACCAAATTTCGAGTTAATCCGACGTTTTGAAGAGGTTCAAAGATTCCGTTACATACTAATAGTCTTTTAATCGTTCTCACAATCTTGTAAAACTAAGAAAAATCCCATAAGATTCCCTCTGGCTGTTTTAAATAGCGTAAAATGTCATAGCAGCAGTAGCTGTATGCATGTGACCGACACGGCGCATTGGCGGCAAAGGGATATTCAACTGGCGGCTCTCGAGAGCTGGCCGCTAGTGCAGAGCGTGCATTATCGATTTATTATTTTCCGAAACTGCCATGAAAACTACGACTACCTACATAAACTCTCGTAAAATACACGTTACCCAAAAAAATAATCTATGTCGTCGACTTAAAGAACGCTATTTCGTTGTATATAACATAATTTATATTTCTAGAAAACTAACAGTATATATTATAAAATTTATAAATAATACAGAGCTATATTCCGTGAACCGATTGCAGTGGTCTGCATTCGATCGATACGAACTGTTCAATTCGATTTTAAATTTCACTGAAGAGTCGGTTCACTTATTCATTAAATACTTTAATATATTAATTGTCATTTTATTATTAACCGACACGGTAACTACAATATACTAGGAACGATCCAACAGTCAATCACATAACCACAACGATATGCGCACGTTAACTTAAGCACTTAACAAAACATAGTTCGATCAGAATCGTACGTTGTATGTAATAAAGAATAAAAACGGGTTTACCCGCAAGTCTCCTAGTCTAAGTTACGCCCTCGGGCGAAGCACGAGATTGCAAGTCTGTGGAAGATTAATTACACTAAGCAGTTCTAATCGACTCCAACGTCCCATCCGCCTCATTGAATTGTCTAGGCAGGCTTCAATCCGGCCCGCTGCGTTTATCGTCCCCCGGACTGATTAAGTCGAACTGAGTATATCACAAGAAACGACGGCACTTCGATTCGTAACGACCAGAACAGAGTTGCTTGCAGTAAGATTTGCTACACTCGATAGTCGAACACTGGACGCGAATTATCACAGTTTATTTTTAGTTGGAGAGCTCAAATTTCAAGCTTTCGCTTTTTGACGTGGCCGGCACTGAACCATGCAGATGTAGCCGGCGTCCACGTCACAGCCGCTCACCAGGAGGTTCATGAGGACACTCGACGATTGCGATTTCGGTTTTGGTGCAACTGGGGAGGGACTACGCTTCACGCGTTTGGCACTAGGCTCTTCTTCCTCTTTCATCACACGTTTCACTCCCGTATCCCAAGTTGATATGCTTCTGCTTGGCATTAGACCTAAAAATACTTAAAATGTGAAAAGGATCTTATAAAATTTTAATAAAAGTTGATTAGACGACTGATTACCTTGGTCTGAGTATATGCTGGTAATGAGATCCTGAGGGGGCGGACCCGTGAGTAAGCGTTGTAATGCCGGTGCCGGTGATGTGTGCGTCTCGGAAGGTTGCGGTCTGGCCTGGCTAACACTGTCAGGCAGGGCTCCCCACATGACAGCCGGCTCCAGCACGGGAAGCTCATCGCTTATAGGTATAAATGGCGAATTGCTGTCGTCAATCTCGTCCGACCTTGTATTATCGAAAGCATCCAGCGACAGCTCTGTCAGTAATGAGGATTGTTCGCAAGACGAATCATTTTCCTAAAACGACAATTCTAAAGTAAAATCTGTTGGAAATTTAATAGAGAAGTAACACATTCGTGAATACTTATAAACGTTTGGTTACCTGTGATTCAGGCGATGATAGTAATGAGGGATCGGGAGCTAGAGGATCTACCGGCGATCCGTTAGCTAAATCATCGCCGAGCAAACTACAATAGTTATCGCTCAATATAAACTCATCGAACATATCAAAAGGACTGTTCTCCAGTGGAATACAAGCGTCACCGGCGGTGGGCGCCAAATGTGTCAGATCTTCCGGCTCGTCTTTAAGCACTGAAAATTCAACGTCATTATTGTCAACGAATCCGTTTTAAGATTATGATATTAGAAAAGCAACGCCGGATACCTAAGCTTTGGTTGAACAGCCACTCACTTGTAAGTCCCTCGTCTTGGGAGAACATGAGAAAGCCTTTATTCATTTCTTTCTTTCTCGGTGCGAATATGAGTTCCGTGACCGGTATAGGTCGTTCTTCCTCCGGCGGAACGATGGCGACTATAGCGCCGTTAGCGAGCGGTTCGACGGGTGCACGGAAGGAGACGCCCGGCGACGCGACAGCTGGCAGCTTTGGTTTCAAATCGGCGTGCTGCACTTGGTGTGCGGCAAACACCTCATCTTTGCACTCGATACCGCTGTGAACAGTACAAATTCAGTAATATTGGACGCCCAGAGGGCATGCCTAGTGCAAGTTATCACGTGCCATGGTCTACTGCCTCCGATGAATAGTGAGCGTTGCGCACGAGCTGCGATACAACAAACGATAATTTAAACTGCACGGTCATTAGCAAAAACAGTACCGAAGATTTTAGTGTAAATTAGTTTTGCATATACACGCGAGATAAGTAAGTTAGAGACAATACTGTGTGGGCGTTCAGAATGTCCTCGTCGCGGCTTCACTTATACAATGGTCAATAGCCAGTGGAGTAATCACTCGACAATATTCAAGGTTGACGACACATTGTGGCACGTACCTCGACGCTACTCTACACTCGATTCGATAAACCATACCTAATTTACTACAAGTCTAGACAACGACAAAAATTAACGCCAACACGAGCTTATAAGATACGATAAGAAATATTTATAATCGACAAACACGTTTTGATTGATTACTAAGATAATATAATACAGTACAAATTTATGCAATGTGTTAGTATTTTCTCTCTCTCTCTCTCTTCATATATCAATGATTTTAAATCACCGTGTCCAACCATTTAATTTATTTATGTATATAATTTAATAAAACTGCTCGGAGAAATGCTCACAGCCCGCCAAAACCGTGTAGACAGTAAAATGTAAAACAAGTTACAAACGAAAAACTTACGTAACAACGAAACACTGATCCAGAGAATACGTAATGTTTTCCAACGACTGAAATTTATTTACAAACACACTAACTAATATTACCCACCCTGGGACAAGATTACGTAAGGAACATTTAATGAAATGTTATCAAGGTTAATTTAAAGATTGGACGCACAAGACATATAAAAATTTGCGTCAATTGATATGAGAACTAACGTAAGTACAACGGAATAACAATATCATAATCTATCAAAATTTACAATTAAATTAAATTTTGCATCACCAGTTTCCCATCAGGGCGTTACACTAATTCAATCTCAATCTTTATCTAAATTGAGGGCCAATGAATCAAAACAACAAAACGCTACGAAACGGCAATTCATTGGAAGTCCGACGCGACGTGAGGATGTTCTATTATTTCGGCCGTTGCATTAAGAGCTATTAGAAAGTGAATCTCGAGAGGGAGAGTGAATTGCACTAAGATCACGCTAGAGAGGGATGTCATGATGGAAGCGGGCACGGCCTTGTTGATGACCTTGCCGGCCCCATCCCCCGAAGACGAGCCACGTTTTCTACTCAGCCATTCACCAGGATCAGCTGCGCGCGCACGCAATAACATTCCCGTATCGATTGTCAGGAAACGATTAAGAACAAAAATTCCACTATCATACTCAGACAACGGTGCCTATTATTTTAATTAAAATAATCTGTGCTGACAGTACATTCAAAGATCGATGGGTATTTTTTTTTTATTGCTTAAATAGTGGACGAGCTAACAGCCCACCTGGTGTTAAGTGCTTACTCGAGCCCATGGACATCTACAACGTAAATGCGCGACCTACCTGGAGATATAAGTTCTAAGATCTGAGTATAGTTACAACCGCTGCCCCGCCCTTCAAACCCGAAACGCATTAACTGCTTCATGGCAGAAATAGGCAGGGCGGTGGTACCTACCCGCGCGGACTCACAAGAGGTCCTCCTATCACCAGTAAGCTAAATCGCTAGGTATTTTAACGTGGAAGACGTAGAAACGTGTGCCCAAGACGAAAGTGAGTCTGGTATCGATTCGGTCTGCGCCGAGCTCGTTTTGGGCGGAGTTGCGTAACGTCAAAAAGGTCTGGGATGCGATTAAATAGAGCAGCTGTTCAGTGGCCTTGGCCGTGATAGCGCTCGGCGTGAAGCGCAATTCGACAATTACATTCGCCACGGTCGAGGTTATGTGATGTCATTTAATCTATTCACGAAACACGAATCCTATTATTAGGTTAGAGCATTTAGGAAAGCGCGGGTGCGTACAGCACTGTTCATGATTATAGGGTTGCAATCGAAAGTGATCGTTGTAAGATAGATGGAATTCAACAATTTTACCAATTTAAAACATTTTTTCAAGTCGGTAGGTATTTAAATAAAAAAGCCGTCAACTTTTCTAGACAGAGAATAGATAGTTTTGATACTTGGTAAAATAAAAGTTGGGTATTTTTTTTCCAAGGCCGACGTAGATTAGATTACGGCACGTAATGGCGTTACTGTTAAAAATAAACAAGAAAAACATGTATGATCTGAATTAAAAAAAAAAAACATTCGTCGAACAAATTACTTGGATTACTTGACGGACTATTTTTGCACGCTCGAATTTGAGTCATTCCATAATGCCCAAAAAATTTCCACAAAATCTGACGTAAAGTTTACTGAATAAACACACGGCGGGTTACATGCAAGTCACATTCGACATTCTTCGACCGGCGTTCATGAATATTAAACCAACATGAAGTTAAAGGTGCTTTTGTCTAAATACTAAATAAAATTATTAAAATGTAGAAATCGGAGTTGTCTGCCAATGAAGTAGATATTCGGCGCGGGAGTCAAGGCCGTCGGTGGCGCTATTATATAACCGGTGTTTGTGGCGGCTGGGGGGAGGGACCGCTAATTTTAGCGGATCTTACACAAATATCACTAAGACGACGCATCACCCAATAACGCACTCATCGCGCTCTGTAACAATGCATAATTATTCCCGTAATAACAATGTTCTAACACCGGCGCGCTCAAGGAAAACTAACAAAATATGATGGCATGTGAATCAATTACGAGAAACGAAGGTAAACTCAATAATAATGATACGAATGGAGCACAAAACCATCCACGTAGATCGGTATTATATTTTAAAATTTGAATGCAGTTTTTTCATTACAGATTATTAGAGTCATACCCGGCGAACTAAACAATTGAGAATGTTAGTGCGTGCCCGTATTACCGTGATCAAAAGACGTTTATATAATCTTGATAGTAAACAGACACTTTATTTTATTTTAGTGGCCACTGTCACAAAAGCACTATTCACCGGGCACGACGACACGTCCTTACCATGATGCGAGACGCGATCGATGTGTTGCCAAACAAGTTTGTCTGGTGTGATCCGGCCGGCTTGCGTGCTATAGGGCAGGCGGATCAGCTGATCGGTTCACGACTTCGGCCGGGGGCGGTGGGGTGGCCGCGTGGGGTGTACGCTTGCGACGAAGTCCGTAGCGCGAATGATACGAGACGGCGGGCAGCGGCGGCGCACTCGTCACGCGGCCTATCTAAACACACACAGTAGGTACGCGGGCCGACATAACTCGGCCGATACGTTTTTGAGGATCGCCGATGCGTTCATCCAGCAGCCACGCAACAAGATAAGAGCGGCGTTGGCGAACCACCGCGGTCCGACGTATGCCCGATCACGAACAGGTTAACGAGCTATCATTGCACCGTCGAGTGATATCCACTAGTGGCCGTTAACAACGATAATTTTACAATATACGATCCATTCAATAAAACTGATAAGATCCAGTAAATTAATAAGACGAAATGCAATTTGAACAGCTATAACAAGATAAATATATTGATATACAATCGTGTACCACCGTGCTTGAGCGCCGAACAACGTAAAATTTACAGTTCTTAAATTAGGTTGATGTATTTTAAGTTGCACCCGCTGCTGGAAAGGCCAATGAACCTCACGTGACATATTATGCGCGGTTGATCCGCAGACCAGAAATAATATTATGAATAATAATTCAATTTATTACATATTATCGTTTTAAAACACATCATAGCTTATTACCATAAGGAACGTGTTATATTGGCTACCGATATACATACAAAATGTGGAAACAAACAAATTACGTCATATAATTAAAACTACTTTTACGGTTTAATATCGCGTTTTTTATTGTCATTATATGATTAATACGACCTTTCGAATACTATACAGTTTTCGTGGTCACGGACGAACACGTGATCATCATAAAAGTTATATTAATTATGCCTACGACTCGCGAATATCAAGGAAAATACTGAATTATTTCATTAACAATCACAATGGATCATTCCACGCGACGGAAAACATGGTTATCAAGTCAACTGAATGTATTGTGCGGTAATAGCATGATAGTGCACGAGGCGATCTATCCATTAGTTAGTTGTGCAGGTCATACGATATCGTTCGACTTGGAGTTGCGTTGTTCCACAATTTAGCCGCGTAACACGATATCTCCCGCTAATGGACCTCGTTGTCCGGAGCCGCGGCTTGTTGCCGTCTTGATTACACGTGCTACTGATTTATATTTCCACTACTCACTGTAATTTTATGATATTTTTCATTTATTAACAATTTCCTAAACCATTAAAATTATGATTCAATAAGTCAGCACTGAATTGTATTAAGAGCATGACAAGAAATGGAGTTTATTAAGGACAGTTAAAAAAATATATTTTCGGTACTCTCAAGACTTATTTTAAGTGATAATTGGGTCCTTGTGTTAAACCTTGAATCATAGAAATTACTAGTGTATTTATGAAAATTGAAACAACCAATTTTGTTTGTTATAATATGCAAGATTAATTAAATTAGACAAGAACAACTAAATAAAAGATAAAATCGATTAATATTAAAAAAACTAATTATTTTATATTTGTAATTTTTGTAGAAAGGCCGGGTATTTATGTAAAAGTTCGCGGAACTAAGTCTAAAGAGTACTTGAGTTGAATCATTGGAACTGTACATGTAAGACAAGGAAATCTTATGCAACTTACTACGTTTTTAATACGTTTTTTTCTGGAATAGAAGGCAGTCGATCTTACGGCCCACCAGATGGTAAGTGGTTACCATTACTTATGGACACTATTCAAAAGCCTTTTGAAAGATTTGCGAACAGTAGCGACGAAGTCTACACCGGTGGCAGACGGTGCGATGTTAATAAAGGGATGACAGGATGATCTCAAACAATTCCTCGGAGTAATCCTAACTATTTGTCCATTAAATAAGTTGCACAATAGTTTGCGAAAT